GTTTATTAAAAATAATTTTTTTTGACCATCTGGTTGATTCCATTAAACACAACCTCTTGTAATAATTCAGTTTTAATAAACTGACTCTACTTTTCATAGTTATCCACCCCAGGTCCCCTAGAACGGCTTCATTTGCTGTGTATCGACATGCTCCTAGAATAAACTTTCCCACTGTACGTTGCATTCTTTCTAATTTTTCCATATCTGTTGAACTAAATATTAGTAACTCACAGGCATACTCTAAGGCAGGTCTAATAATGTGGTTCCACAGGGATATACCATAATCTACTCTATTTACATTGCCATGGTTACCAAGAATTGATTTCATAATGGGGAATAACTTGTTAAACTTTTCAGACATTTTTGTACATTGTGTATGATCTGACAAGTTACGTATAATCCAATAACCCAAATATTTATACTCAGAAGCTTCTTTTAACTTTTTTGTTAACTTTCTTGTTAATGATCAACACGTTTGACTTTTCCTCATTAATTGTAATCTTCCATAGCTTGCAGAAATGGTTTGTGACATTTAACATGGATTTGAGTTGGACCTCATTTGGTGCAATAAGCACCACATCATCAGCAAAAAACAATCCATTTATACAAATTTCATCTAATTTAACACCAAGTAGTGAATCATCTAACAGTTTTTTGAATTCATTCATATAAATTGAGAATAACGTTGAGGCTAAAACACATCCTTGTTTTAAACCCTCATTCTGTGTAAAATCTGTTTCAATATCGCCAAATGATACTTTACTTTCAATATGGTTATATGTATTTTTTATTATACGCCATAATTTGCCCTTTACACCATTCTGCCATAAAGCATACCATAAACCTTCTCTCCAAATGCTGTCATAAGCCTTTTTAAAATGTTTGTTAACTAAAGAAATCAGAGAATGTTGCGATGGCAACCATATCTGAATCTCTACCAAATGTCCGTATCAACCCCATGAAATTACAAGTAGAACAAAGCAATAACCTTTTATAAGATAGTGAATTATGACTAAAAAAATATTCCGGAAATTACTGCTTCCATGGAAATATAACGATTTACACGAGGTGTTTAGACAATTTACAATGATTATTTTCATTGATGAATTGTTTTAAACCATATAAAAATATATATTTTATAAAAGCTTTTAATTCACCCTTCAATCGTGGTTACGTCACACAGAACCTTTGTCTTATATATAATATATTGAAAGCAAAATTGTATATACATGTTAGACTAATCATTTTTATTGAAATGTTATTATACATCTGTCACCGTAGCGCCATAAGTTTACAGCGTGCCGGAATTTTGTGATATTTTACGAGGTATTTTAATCCTACCATATTTGGAAATGCGAATTCCGAATATGGAAAGGTAACGCGCGTCCTCTAATAATAAAAACAAACATGGCTGCCTCCAGGGTTTGACCGGACTCCACACAAAGAAGTTCGCTGATTCTGTTCTAAACTTTTTGGATTTCGGCATTCCCATGATGTATCCTTGGAAGGAAAAGATGTATAATAATAAGGTTATTTCGAGGTACCACAACGTATGTATTCAGACAGACAGTACGCCGTGCATCGACCTCCTCTTCGCGTCGGTCGATACTTCCGCTTTACTGTTTTCGTGCATACTTTGAGGTATCCTTGTAATAACTTCATAATATTCAACCTTGTCGTACTCGAGATTGGGTACGACAATTGATGTGTTTTTACAGCCCGGACGGAATTTTAATTCTACTAGAGCGAGATTTTATCACCATTTTTATGGGCCGATTTTACCTACATAATTCTCAGTGGCACACGACAGTACATGCATTACTGTCGCGGGAATACTCGCTTATGGATATTTTCAAAAATATTTATCCAAATTTATGGTCGAAAAGTTTATCACAAACGTATAGGTACGTATATATGACGTAGACATACGTATTAATGTATACACTCACATGTACCGATGCTAATTAAATTTACTTCAATGGCGTTGGTGGTCTTTTAAAAATAACTTAATGTTATAGAATGGTTCTCGACAAATCACATTGTCCTTGGACGTGTTCCAATTGTTCTAGGGACTACTTTACTGCTAGTCATTAGTGTACGCAGCGATCCGCACAACATTCAAAATAGCCATCTTTGGTAAAGTGGGACCCATATAGCGTTCTTGTGTGGCCTGGCAACCACTGCCTTATAAAATTCGCAACAACTTTACTGCGCTTGCTATCTTCACGTCGATAAGATCGTTGCTGCGGCTGGAATTATAGGATTCAATTTAATCTTACCTGGATATTGTAGAAGTGCATGGTCAGACAGGTGACGATAATCACACTCCACAACATTCAACGGCAGAGAAGAAATGCAGAAAAACTTTAACTGAAACTTTTTGAAATACCCGATGTTTGGCACATTGATTAGCGTGTCACATCGGCTAACATCCGGGTGATTGTGCATTTGTTACCGTTTCCATCTCACAGGGGTTAGTTACTGTATGCAGAGTTCAAATAGTACATAATGCGGGAATGATTTACACACTTGGGAACTAGTGAGGTCAAGGAGTCAGATTCGTTCCACTTTTAAACGGTCCCCCCTCCAAAATATATAAGAGATTCGCAGCGCAAGTCCCACTAACTGCTAAGACGAAAGGCAGGAATATACACGTTATCTAATTTAAACGTTGTCCTAGTTATGCCAGGGCAACGTGTTATGTGTGTGCAGGTAATTGCAGACGTTGAATCTTGTTCGCGTCCGAATTTCCGTATTTTAAGAAGGTAATACTGCTAATTTGAGGTGGTGTTCCTGTA